ACAAGCAGAACTGCAGTTTGGAGGCAGTACAGCAGTGTTTGTGCGGTGTGGAACAGGGTTCTGCATTTAATTAAACCCTGCTGGTTCTGTGCAGATGTAGCCCAGGTATCCCGAACCATGCTGCAGAACTGGGAGCATGCTGATTTACGTGATGGCTCTGGACACAATCTGCCTCTGTTTCAGCCAGGCTGATCACCTCCAGCACAGCACTAGCTGGATTAGAGGGTGCAGTGGGTTGTCTCTGGGTTCAGGCAATGGAGGATGGGGTGTAGTAGCTCAAGTGCAGAGTTAATGCAGGGAGATTACATAAACATTTTGAATGTGGCTGTGGGGACCGGTTTAAATGTTGGTGCCCGCAACTCTTGTGGATACTTACAACTTTATTTTACATTTTAGATCTACCCTCAGGAGAGACACAGTATAAGGGTACCCGAGTCGGGAGAGCACTATGAACTCCATCTACTGTATTACCTGCAAGAGAATCTGGGCTCTCATATTGCTGCCCTGAAGGCAATGTAATTGACCTGTGCAGAACTCTGCTCCGCTGGCTGCTTTACTGAACAAGGAGATGTAGGAAACTAGAGAAAATAGGATGGAACATTGCATTTTGGTGCCTGCCACATGTACACACATGTACACACACACACACAGAGACACTTTTTTTAAAGTAAATTTGGTGCCATACAGGAAATTAAAGTACGGTGACCTAATAACTTTAAAGCTTAGGATGTAAATAAAATCAAATGTCTGTGGTATAATGCAGTACCATGGGTGTTCTCTCGCGGGGGGAGTTGAAACTGAAAATAACGTACTTCTACAGCACCAGATCTTCACTTTTTAAAAGCGTTATGACATAATTGATGTATTTTTACAGTGTGTTCCTTGGTATCTTATTAAATAATACTGGATGATTTACTCACTACACAGCAAGAGTTTACCTAAATGGTTACAACTTGTATTACATTTTAAATGCTATCATATAGCTTTTATGCTTCATGAAAGGGATGTGTCTCACTTCTTAGAAGCTGGTCACAAGTTAGACACATCACCTATCTAGATGTTAATTGTTTTTTAAGAAGAAAGACTTTTAAGCTGCCTCCTAAAGAATTTAAATTTGGGATTCAGTTCAGTTGATGCCAGGTTCTTTTCAATGATTTCTTCTCTCCCCAGGATAAATCATACTCTTTTTTTTTTTTTCTTTCAGCAGCTTGAGATCCTATCCTGATTGTACTTGGTTTCAGTGGGGAAGTGAAATGATATGTTACTGTGATATGGACATAATAATCTTTTATTCTGAGATGCAAACTAACTTAAGTCAAAGAGCTGAAACTTCATAAATTTTAAAACAAGCTTAAAAGTGCAGCCCATTTCTCATTGACATTCTTCCCTGATGTTCGTTCTGGAGCTGGTTTTGCAATACTGTTTTTGCCGTCACATCAGCATGATATAGGTATATGCATCCTCTTACAATTTTAAAATTCAATACTCTAATTCAAAGGTCTGCAGAGGATTTAGTGAGGAGAGACCTTACGAACACTACATGTGAGGCAATATTGAATTTCATGCTTTATTTGAGGGACTATTTTCCAGGCTCGTACTCTGTTCAGTCCTCCATTCCTGGGTCCTTTCTAGCACTCCTGCGTAGCATGGTTATGATGCTGTATTTGAGAAACCCCCTTCTGTACAGCTTAAGGTAACCCCGCTAAGCCTAAAGGATATGCAATCCCAGTTGTGTTTTTGCTAGTGAGGTTTTAACTAAGCAGCAGGCTTGGCTAAAAAGCATCATGAGTGTGTGAAGTCACTTTAACTTGCAACAGGTCGTTTAAGATAGAAATCCATAGCAAAATGATTCTCTTTAATCCAGGAAATTCTCCCCTTGGGGCTTGTCTCTGAAACTCCTATAAGTTTTAATGGTTTTCTTAGAAACCTAAGAACTTCCTTTTCTTTCTGTTTTGGTGCTAGAGAGAAACAGAGCATGATTTTCTTTTCATCTTCTAAAAATCTGGAATCACTCTCAGTGTTTATGCTCTTAGTACTCCACATGTTGTAACCTTGTATTTTCCTCGCTTTTGTACCGTTCAGCTTGATCCTGAAACTCTGGGATTTAACACAATCTGGCTGTATTGTATCAAACCGCATCGTTTTTCAGTTAGGCTGCTGGGCATGTGCACCAAAGCTGTCGGAGCTGGTGCAGTTACGCGGTTGTAAAATCTGTGTGTGAGAACAGGATCTGTTTTTCGGGTTGCACAAAAGATAGGCAAAGCAAACAGGCATGCAGTAAATGCAAATTTCCTCCGAGGGGAGGATGTTTGGTTTGGGCTGTTTTCTGGTTTTCAGATCACGGTGATTATAAGTGGATCAGTTAAAGTAGCATTAGGAGGTCAATAACAAGCTTACAGTTTTATTTTGGGAAGGGCATGGCAGGGAAGGAGCCCAGCTCCTATAATGTCTTCTCTTAGTAGTTCATTGTTGTGGCTGAAGGGAACGCAGCATCCCTATGGAGTGTGCTATAGTCAGTATTGAGAGACGAGTAAGCGTGCTGATACATTTGAACTAGAACAACACGGCAGTGAGTAGAGACAAGTATAAGTTGTTACTATGGAATTCCATTGTGTTCCTTATGTGTTTATGCTGTATTATATATACATATATCTATATCTGTTCATATATACAGATATGTATAAAATTACACGTGGATAGTATCACCTTTTCCAAGGTTGTTTATATTTTGTTCAATATTAAATTAACTTGCTTTTTGGGGTGTTTTAGTTCTTTTTCTATAGGTGATTACCCTTGAATGTAAATGTATATGATTTTTAAGACGAAATTGATCCTTTTGTTTAAAAAACATAACAAAAATGGCCTTCATCAAACAGTGCTTTTTTGGAAACTGAAGAGCTATATGTTATGCAAGTAAACCAGGCTAGGTTTTGATTTAGCACAGGATGTGATTATAAGTGCTGACATACAACTTTTTAATAATGCATCCTTCCATTGTTTTAAATATATATATGTCAAAAAGCTATTAAATTACAACGTTCTTTAGGTACTCTATTTTGCAACATAAATTATGTATTTCTTTCTTTCCTACATTTTTTTTTTTCTTTTTACAGTAGTTAAGCACTTTAAGACCCCATGCTCTCTTATCCTGTGGAAATGCTGGGAGGATTTATCATCAGAGTTCTGTAGTTCTTGCAAAAGACACCTGCTTGTAGGTGAAGGTGTGAGAGATGCCTTATATGAGGTCTGATCCAGCCCTACGCAGTCAATGACTAAACTCCCAGTGACACGGGAAGAAGGGAAAAGCCTGTTGCAATTGCAACTGCAGAGGTAGGAAGGTGTTCGTGCTGAGGACCGTTGCATCAGTATTTTGGCGGGGAGCAGTAGTCCTGCACCTCGTATGGTGAAGTGTTGGTCCAGCACTGGACCAGAGCTGGCATGGAGTGGTGGTTTTGCCCTGCTCTGTGCCACTGGAGTCGCCTGCTCCAGGATGAGGGCGTACCTTGCAGTCCAGGAGATGGTACTGTCACTCAAGAAGAGATTTCCAGCCTGTTTGATATTTGGGATTATACTTTGTCACTTCCTGCATGTTAAAAAAAGTCTTGGTTAATGTGAGTTTTAAGCAGAACTGAGATCCTGGGGGAGCACGTGCAAGGGAGGTTGTCCGTGGAGCAAAACCGTGTGAGGAGGAACCGTCCCTGTTGCTCCCAAAACAGACATTAGTATGTCCCTTTGGGGGATCTTCTGCCTTCAGCAGAGGTCTGCTCTGTGCCCAGCAGGACACCTGCTCTGAGCAGGAGCAGGATTGAGCCTTCGTTGCATGGTGGACATTAGTTGCACAGGTGTCTGAGATAAATGTTTTAATTTCATATATTTTAAAAAATATGTATGAAATATGGGGATCTGAGTGATGAGATACTGAAGTTGTTGAGTGTTGATGCCAGCAGTTTCTTCTCGTTTGCAGCAGTTGAGGTTGGTTGTGCTTGTTTCTGATGGAAGCACACTCTTTTGCCCTGTTTTAAGGCAGCTTCCAGTAATTCCTCTTGAGTGTGCAATGCGCAAAGCTGTTGGGTTTCACCCTTCGCATTGGAGTTGCACCCCCTACCCCACCCCTTTGTTTTCAATTATTTCTTTTTATTCAGAACAAAGTAAAATTAGTAACTACCCAGAACTGCTTGATTTTTATAAACTCAGTTAACTTGTTTGTTAATGAAATAATGAGTTCAAAGCATGAAGTAAAGCTTCGAAAATCAACTAACTTCCCTATATTAGAATGGAAAATGCATTCCCTACTTGCTAGTGGCATTTTGGAATAGGCTATGGAAATACTTTCTGAGCGGGATGGTGTGGTAATGCTTTAACCCTGGAGCACTGTATGTCTGAGCCTGTGTGGCGAATTACAGAGAATTCACGAACCCTGAGCCCGGGGGTCCCAACCCTTACTCCCTACCAGGAAAAGTGGGTTGTGTTTCTGCCGTGTGTGTCCGTGTGTAAGGCAGGCTGTTTTGCTGCTGACGTGACGCTCAACTTTTGACGAGGCAATAATAGAGTATAAATAAATGAAATAATCAGCCAGGTTAGGACACTGCCTTGAATTGCCTGTTTACTTGAGTACCAGAACCCTCTAAAGACTTTTTGTGTGCCCCTCACAGTTCTCCGGGCCGCTCCTTTGGAAGGGGAAGAGAGATCTTCATGTGGTTTTTACTTGGCTGTTCTGCACAGTAGAAGTTCAGGTGTTTAATTTTAGAACATGAAGTGCCTGCTGTTTGCGTTAACAAAATTGCATGTCTCACTCCAGTGGGTTTATTGGTCTCCCTCCCTCCCCCACCTTTCTAGCTACATGGCTTTTAATCATGTAAAGTGGAGACATTAGTTTTGCTGCGTTTTATTACAAAACCTTTGTTGCAATAAAGATGCTGCTAAATAAATTGAATTAAATGGTTTTTTTCCCCCCTTATTTTCAACTGTCTTCTTGATTTAGTAGAGTTTGTTTGTAATTAAATCTCTTCTCTCATTGCGCTGTGGAAAGCAGCAATGATGGAAAATGTGTGTGTGCGTTTTATATACGTGTTGGGTGTTTAGTAAAAGCATCTGCGATTTTTCCTGCCCCTTGTGGTTAGATAGATTGATACAAACGGGAAGATCAGGCATTTGCTTGGCATAACTACGTTCCCCCTCCTAAATGTTTCCGTGTGAATGCTGTTAGCAGCCCTTGGCAGCCACCAGCTGGAGCTCTCGCACTGGGTACGGCACAACCGCAGCTTTGCTGGCCAAGATGGGCCAAGCGCCACGGGGGAGGAGGTGGCCCTGGCGCCAAGGCAGAAGGACAGAGGCACCTGCGTGTAGCCAGCGGGCTCTGCCAAGAGAAGAGATGCCTCTTCATACAGTCACCTCACGTTTGGCCTCAGTTATGTCTTTGTGAGCAGTATGGGCTTTGCAGTCGCCCTGGTTCTCCTTAGTGCTGCCCCAGAAGGGCTGGTGGGGGGCTCAGGGCAGTCACGATTCATGTTTTTACTAATTCAGTCCTGATTTTTCACCCATGGGGAAGCACCCCCTGTTTTGGTGGCTTTCAGAAACAAGCTGGTAGCTAACGGTGTGTTGGTACGTTGCATTGTGTCTCCCTCTGGGGTTTGTGTAGGCCCTACCATAACATGCCAAAGCTTCCCCAGGAGCCTTCAGCAGCCCTTGAGCAATGCAAGCCAGGACACGAGTGTCATACCAACTGGGCTTTTGGGTTGTGGCTGGTGGTGGGACCTGCTGGTGCCTTTGAGCTAGATGTGTAGCTGTGTCTTCATCACCAAAGAGCAGGGAGGGAGGTTTCTCCACATGCTGTTGTGCCAGGAGGCACATTTTATCATGGCAAAGCATTTCTGTCCTCTTCCAGGTGCCCTAAGGCCTCGCGATGTCTTGCAGTTTGAGGTAGGATACGCAGGGAGAGCTACAACCGCCCTGCAGCCGCCCCTTCCACGGTCATCGGAGATGGAGGAATCAAGGCAGGCTTTCAGCAGTATCATTTAATATAAACTCTGGCAGTTCTTTGTGCTAGTTAGAAACAACTAAGCCAATGAAGAAACAATTAAGACCAATGGGTCTTAATCTTGGAAATGTTAATATTGTAAACTCATTTTCTGTCTGTGCTGTCCTGCTCGTTTATAAAATGTTCCTGCTCTGCAAGAACGGAGAGCCTGGCTCACGCTGGCACAGCCCTCTTGGGCTGGGCTGGGGATGGGACAAGCCTGAAGCTGTGTGGTCTCACCCGCAGCCTGTGCTGACCAGGAGCAGTTTCAGGAGTGAGCAGCCGTCCTGCGGAGGGGACGGCTCCTGCTCTCGCGCGGGCGCTGCGGGCAGGGGCATGTTCCTCAGGTTGCGCTTGAATTAGCAGCTCGGCGCGTTTCCGCAGCAAACGAGCGTTTGTGCTGTCCCTCTAATTCTAAATGACTTTGGAAAACAAGTTGTGGTCTTTTAAGTAACCATTTATCAACCTGTGTTCACAGAAGGGGAGGAAACCAATTCCATGAGCTGTTAGGCACTCCTGCTCTCCGCCTTAATGCAGATGCCCATTTTTTAAGCTCTGGAGACTGGCACGGGCTTTGCATCAGGCGAGGCACCTGAAGCCTTCTGCTACTGCCAAGTATCCTCATTTGGGTGGCAATTATTTTCCAATTATGATTCTGCCAAGTGTGGGAGGCCGATCCCCATGTTGGATGCTCTGCGTGGGCAGTGCTGGATCCGCACGGAGGAATCCAGCGGAGGAAGGACATGCAGAGGCCGGTGAGACGGGGGAGAGGTGACCCAGCCGGGAGGGACAAGCTGATCCAGGCCACTGCAGCTTTGCCTGTCTCGAGACGGTCGTTGTCTCCTGTTCCCATCCCTGTAAGCTGAAGGGCAGTAATAAATCTCATTAATCCCCCCCAAAAATGTAATTCCCTGCCCAACCCATCCTGAGTATTTGGGCAGAGCTGCCTCTGACCTTCCATCACCCCCCCCCCAGTGGGGTCTGGGTTTGGGTGCCTTGCTGACGGGTAATGGAGGTGACTGGAGCAGGGCAGAGCTGCTGCAGGGACCCGGCCCTTCTCCTTGCCCTCCCCATCACTTCTCTCCAGGCACATGAGGGACGTGAAACTGAGCGTTCCCGGAGTCCAGAACACTCCAATCAAGAGAAACACGAGCTGCAGCACCCGGCCCCCTTTGCAAGGTGCAGTGGCCTCAGTACCACAACACACGGTGATTGTTTTCTTCTGATGAGGTAAGAGAGAGCGCTCAGACTCCAGCTTTATATAAAAGACAATTCCTGCGAGAAACCCTCTGCCAGGGCCTGAGTGCATTTAACCACTCTCGGGGTATTTCAGCAGGTGGGTTGAACGGCTTCTGCTGTGCTCTGCGTCTCCCCGTCTCTGTAGCTGCCCCTTGCACAGGAGCAAGCACCCGTTAAAACCCTCACGCTTTGATTTTAAAACACAGGAAAGGCCCCGTTTACACCAAAAAGCAGTCATGGTCTTCGGGGAAGGTGTGTGGCTTGGTGTGCTTTGAATTAATTTTGCAGGGGGGACACAAAAGCCACTGTTGTGCTCCACCCTGTACCAACGGAGCCACCAAGAGCGCTGGGCTGTTTCTGACTGTGTTCTCAAGCCTACAGGAAGACGTTTGGCATTGCTGGGAGCTCTTCTGTGTTTGCAAAAGGAGTTCAGCGGGAAAAGAGCAAAAATCCCTTTGGATGTACCAGCCCAGGAGGTTTTAACTTAAATTCCAGACTTTTCTGGCTGTGAGCTCTGCTTGTCCTGTCTTTGTCACCCTAAATACAGACATAAATAATGTTGGTGCCCCGCCACCGCCTGGGTGCTTTGGTGTGGGACCTGCTGTGAGGCTGGTGTGGGGCAGTGGGGTCTGGCCAGAAAAAAAAATCCCTGCTTCCCCTGCCTGTAGCTCTAATGTCACGCTGGCATCGTCGATGGGGAGTTGTCCACACGCTCCGGGTAGAAAGACCCATCCTCGCTTTCATAGGCATCATTTTCAGGGCACTTGGCTTGCCTGCGGCCCCCAAAATGCTCCAAGGTGCCAGGAAGGGCCTGTGCGTGTGTGCAGGGGGTGTAGCGGGGAAGGGCTTGTCCTGGCGTATGCTCGCGCTCTGGCTTACAGCAGCAGCAGCCCTGCTGTGAACAGCGGGCTCAAGGATGCTGGGAGAGCCCTTCCCTCGTGTCGTGGTTTCACTTCTTTTCCTCTGGAATTCTAGGAATCTTTTAAAAAATGTTCCTATTCCCTTGGAATAGGGAAATCTGTTTCCCATCACCCTGGCTGGGTCAGTGCCTGGGTGGGCTGTTGGGGTGCGGGATCCTGCCCTTCCCTGTGCACCTCCATCTGCCGGCATTGATGGCGGCTGCAGGCAGGGGAGCGGTGAGGCCCCCGCTCAGACCCAGGCCCAGCCCCACCTCGGCCGCTAGACAAGGAACCGTGGGAGCAAACGGCTGCGGTATTGCAAGTCGCCCTTCGGCCACGAGCGCCCTGCCAACTCGTCGGGCTTTTCGGCGCCGGTTTCTCCCCATCCCTCGTGAGATGTCAGCCGTGTCACCTTACGAGGCTGCTCACTCGCCTGTTTGAGATGAATAACTGCGCGGTTCCCATGGAGACTCATCCCTCCCGCCGCATCGGTGCAGCCGGAGCACTTCACAGCCTTTTCAGGCTGCAACAAAACATGTTTTCCGCCACGTTTTAAAAGGGGGTTTTATTTGCAATTCAGCGAGCTGGCGGGCATGCGTGCTTTCTGTTGCTTGCTGCTGGAGGGAGCTAGAAAATACCCCAGGTGTCGGGGAAAGCGCTCACCTCTGCTCTGCACTGTGCTGGCCTCGGGCACAGCGTGAGAGACAGTAAGCTGCTTTTGAACTTCACGGCACAGCAGCAACCCTGAAATCCTGTACCAGCAGCCGCAGTTGTGCTGCTGTCGTGGCTGGTCCATGAAGCAATGCTCAAAATTGGTCCTCAGTGCAAGAGGGCACCTTCACTTGCTCTGGCTGGTGCAAGTTGAATCCTCCTGCATAAGAGCACAGAGTCCTGGCTTGGGGTTCGCGATGTTAAGATATTTGCTCTGGAAAAGCTGCTCCCTGCCGGGTGACTGCTTTCGGCATCACACCCTGCGTGGTCCAGCCCGAGCCTTGTTCCTGCATGAGGTTCACAGTCTGCAATCAGTGCTTGCACCCGCGGACGTTTCTGAGACCCGAGAGAAAGGAGTGAAGATTTAGCAAAGTCCTTTCAGGGCTGAAGTCATGATTTATTTTTAATGTTCGGGGTCATAGTCCTAGTCTCAGACAGGGTAAAGGGAAAATCTTTCCTGGAAGAACTTATGGCCTGAGCAAAATAAACACTCTCTTCACTTTATGGGATTAACAACGAAGCTGCAAACGGTGGCTGAGATTGAAGGGCTGCCTTTTCCTCCCCGGTGTCAAGTCTTTTCTCAAGATAATCATTCCTGATGATGGGGGCTTATAAAAAAGGTGGCAGCAAACTTCTTAGCAGGGCCTGTTGCGACAGGACAAGGGGGAATGGCTTTAAACTAAAGGGGGGTAGATTTAGACTAGGTATAAGGAAGAAATGTTTTACACTGAGGGTGGTGAAACACTGGCCCAGGTTGCCCAGAGAGGTGGTGGATGCCCCATGCCTGGAAACATTCAAGGTCAGGTTGGACGGGGCTCTGAGCAGCCTGATCTAGTTGAAGATGTCCCTGCCCACGGCAGGGGGGTTGGACTAGATGACCTTTAGGGGTCACTTCCAACCCAAACTATTCATGATTCTCCAGGCTGCCCCTGCCAACAGACCTGTGAAGAAACCGGTGCTGTTTAACTCGGGCTCCCTGGAACAGACACGAGCCATCGTGCGTTGGCCCCACAAGCTTTCCCCACTCGCTCCCCACGTGGCACCGCTGGGCTGGCCCCAGCCGGGCTGTGCATTTCCCAGGGAATTCC